AAACCAATTAATGAATTGATGCCATACGCAATAATAGCATATAATAGTACTACTACAAGTTCTGTAACGAAATTTACTCCTTACGAACTCGTACTAGGACATACCAATAATCGTGATCCTTTGGATTTAATATCCACAACTTTCTATTCTGACTATGTGAACTCACACAAGAATAAAGTAGACATATTATATGAAAATATCCTAGGAAACACAGAACGAGAAAAAGAACGTGTACCTAATAACAAAAATTAACACAAAAAGTGATGAACAAAGTCAATTCAAAATAAACCAAACTGTAGATATATAAAAAACAACCATCGCGTTCCTCTAAAAGTAAACCAAAATATTATGGACCTTTGAAAATAATCGAAATCTTAGAACATAACCGTGTGAAAGTACAACACGTAAAAAACCCACAAAAAGTGGAAACAATCCATATTAAGGAACTGAAACCACCTCTTGTTACATATACACCTGTACAACAGGATACTCCTACGACACTCCTAGATACAACGACCTAAACCAAAACCCAGGAATCCTTCCAAATAAATTAGGTAATGCCCAGAAAGTATCTAATCATTGGACATTCGTTCAAATATTTAACATTGAAAACTTAATTACCGAATTTGATATTCTATCAAATCAATACCAATCACTCGAAAAAACCCTAAATAACAACACAGGATTTCAGGCAGAATATTTTTACATATTAATAACCTGGAATCGAAAATCAATAACCAAATAAATCAATTATTACCAATTAATTCTCTTAAGAGACAAAAACGAGGTTTAATTGATGGATTAGGTAGTATAGTTAAAAGTTTAACTGGAAACTTAGACCAACAAGACGCTCTAAGATATGATGCTGAAATTGATATCCTTAAAAAGAATCAAAATAATGAAAAATCAGCCATAGACAAACAATTGACACTTCTTCACAAGACAAAAGACCTATCTATTTTTATCTGTTATGCGCGCGCAACACGAGGCAATTTCTTTTTATTGGCTAGCCAATACAGGTGTGAGGTGATCGTTTTGCACGCTGGACATCTCTTTGTCCTTGTTCATTGCACGTGGTCTGACAAGAATAAATCTAAAGTTAACATTCAACTTGGCAAATGTCATTCAAAAGTTGTTTGACAAATACGTTGCACAACGCGCGGTTTTTCTTCTTCCCTTTTTATCCCGTGCAAATAAGAAGGACGGATTTCTATACGTAAGTCTAACATAATTTAGTACATTTTGCCTCGTCTTGCGCAATGAACGTTCTGTGTCTTTTTTTATTTAATGAAGTTTTCGTATTATTACCTCTTTGTTTGGTAAAATAGATAGGTCTATTGACAATTTCCAAGAAATCACACAAAATATATCTCATAATCAAGAAATCTTGAAAAATCGAATTAACAATGTTATTGAAACAATTAACTGCTTACAAATCGAAATGGCAACGGCTCGTGAATATTTTAAAATTCAAATGGTTTTAACGCAAATTTCTATGATGTATCAAAATATCTATGATATATTAGAACAAATCGAAGTTGCAATATCATTTGCTAAACTAAATAATTTCCACAATAGACCTATCTATTTTACCAGACAAAGAGGTAATAATACGAAAACTGTATTAGATAGAAAAAGACGCAGAACGCTTATTGCGCAAGACGAGGCAAAACGTACCATATTATGTTAGACTTACGTATAGCAATCCGTTCTTATTATTTGCACGGGATAAAAAAGGAAGGAGGAAAACCGCGTGATGTGCAACGTATTTGTCAATCAAAAACACAAACAATTGAAAATCGATCACTTGTCAAGCTACGTCAAGTTGAATATCAAGCATAATTTTATCCTTGTCAAACCACGGACAATGAAGAAGGACAAGGAGATACCCAGCGAGCAAAAGGATTATTTCACACCTGTACTAGTTAGCCAATAAAAATGCATTGCCTCGTGTTGCGCGCGCATACAGGTAAAAATAGATAGGTCTATTCCATCATAAAGCCTTCTGAACTTTTAAATGAGTTATTGTTAATAAATAACCAACTTTTATCAGAAAAGTTACCTTTTGAAGCCATACCTGAAAATATATTGAATTTTGAGACTATTCTGAATATAAAAAGCTACTCAAAAGATAGTGAAATAATATTTAATATCGAAGTACCCCTGGTAGAAAAAGAAAACTACAATTTTGTTCAATTGTTTCCTTTACCAACGCCAACCAATAAATACTTTAAAATGTTGATTCCTAATTTCCAATATGTCATAATTAATGAACATAATTTTGGTTATTCGAACACACCTTGTAAGAAAATACTCGATAATGAATATTTGTGTAAACACATACACACAGAAATATTGTATAAGAATTTACCATGTGAATTGCAATTGTTAACTTATCAGCATAATATCACAAATTGTAATCCAATTCTTGTGAAAATCGAAAGTGTTCAAGTGCAAAATATCAATGAAGGAAAGTGGATAGTGATTACTGATAAAGACATTACAGCATTACAACAGTGCAGAAGTGAAAAAAGAAAATGTGTTTTTTGAATGGAACTCATTTAGTAGAAATCAATTTCCCATGTAGTTTGAAAATTGCTGACATCAAGTCTTATAAAAATATTAATCACAAATTTTATGTTTTTCCTTTACCTAATATTAAGGTCAATGTTTCACACAAAATAGAACATAAGGACCTTAAGTTAGTGACTTTAAACAATGTTAATTTTAATAAATCGGATTCTTTGCAAAATGAAATACAAAATCAAAGAAAATCAAATTTGGAAATGCTAAAAGATCCAGTTTATTATTATACGCCCAGTATATGGACTATTTTACTTTATATTATAATTTTATTGATTTTATTATTTTTCTTGTACAAGTATCTGCTCCCTTTGCTCTATGTCGAAAAGAAATTGGATTCAAACAATAATGAAATCATTATTTGAACTTTACAGGTCTGTCTACACAGACAGCTTTTCGAGACAGGTCTGTCTATGGAGACAGCTTTTCGAGACGGGTCTGTCTACACAGACAGCTTTTCGAGACAGCTTTTCGAGACAGCTTTTCGAGACAGCTTTTCGAGACAGGTCTGTCTATGGAGACAGCTTTTCGAGACAGGTTTGTCTATGGAGACAGCTTTTCGAGACAGAGCTGTCTATGGAGACAGCTTTTCGAGACAGGTCTGTTTACACAGACAGCTTTTCGAGATAGGTCTGTCTATGGAGACAGCTTTTCGAGACAGGTCTGTCTACACAGACAGCTTCTTTAAGGACAGGTCTGTCTTCACAGACAGCTTTTCGAGACAGGTCTGTCTATAGAGACAGCTTTTCGAGACAGGTCTGTCTACACAGACAGCTTTTCGAAACAGGTCTGTCTACACAGGCAGCTTTTTGAGACAGGTCTGTCTACACAGACAGCTTTTCGAGACAGGTCTGTCTACACAAACAGCTGTTCGCGGCAGGTTAGTAGTATCGGGGGCACCTGAGCCTGAGAAAATTTTCGATACCGTGGGAAAAATCTCTAAATCGGCGGCGCCTTTGATCTGAAACAGCTATACAGGTCTAGAGATAGGTTTGTATACACCTATACAGGGCTAGAGGCCTGTATACAGCAATGGTGAGCAAGGTTTGGTTTGGGTTAGTTATAAATTAACATAGGTCCCCCCACGACAGCTATCAGTCAGCTGTCGATGTCATCTGTCAATGTCACTCATCTATCAATGTCATCTGTCAATGTCAGTCACCTGTCAATGTCATCTAACCCAATCTACATGAACTACTCCGACTCAACTATTTCAAAAAGCGATATTCGGAAGAAACACTGCCTTATCGTCAAGTTCAATGAGGATGCTCGGTCCGAATATCGCTTTTTGAAATAGTTGAGTCGGAGTAGTTCAGGTAGATTGGGTTAGATGACATTGACAGCTGACTGACATTGACAGGTGACTGACATTGACAGCTGAATGACATTGACAGATGACATTGACAGATGACAGCTGACTGATGACGTCACGGCGTCGCGACGCTCTGGTTGGCGCATGCGCAGACGTCACGGAGGCATCGCAGGCGTCGGAGGGCGCAGAACTGTCAAACTCTATCTACTCTTCTCATCTTCCAAAAATCATTATTTTATATTAATCAAGCGACCATGGTGCGTGATAACAATTACCAGTGAACTGTCATTGACATTGGCCATCCATGGGTTTGGGTTCCTTGTACAAATTAATAATTCAATAATTCGTTCAACTTATAACCTTATGTTATTTAAACCTAACGTGATCAATGATTTTTCAAACCCATGAACCTTTTTTGGAAGACGATTGGGTTTAACTAACTGAAGAAAGATGCCCTATTATCCTAAATACGACAATATCCCTCATATTCCGATTTTTATATTGTTTCTTGGGTAGTTTTCGTATGCCTTGTCCATCAGTTGGTCATAGAATGCTTATTTTTTTATCCAGATCTTGTTCTGTTGGGCTATAGACATTGATTATGGATAGGTTGAAGAACCTGAACCTCAACATTCAGTAATGTTTAGCTTTTTTGACACTTTATGAGAAGCGGAGGGGAAGAAGAATACAGCAAACACGTGTGAGGTCAGGTGACCATTGACGTGCTAGCGTAGGGACGAGCCACCAACTTGAATTCCTTTGCAGTATTAGAATATAAAAGGCGGACTGACCGGACTGTATGTTGTTCATCCTTCATTGAACAATTCTGATCTATACTTTGATACTGCCTGTAAATAATTAGCATCAAAAAACAAGAAAAACTATCTTGAAGAGACATCATCAATCCAACTTGCCCACCTGGCATGAAAACTGAATCCTAATAAACAAGAAAGGAGGGGTATTATTATAAGCCCTATTTGCAATTATTAGTAATACCTAATTACTTATATTATTTTTTATTTGAAAACATTATTGTAATATGTATATTGCAAATACATATTGTGATTTAAGTTGATAGATATTTTTTTTTAAAAATCGTTTATCAGTGATAACTATGGTAAGTATGCTACTTCAATTATTGGAGATTGGATTTTCAATTTACCTCATTCGAGGGGTCAATAACATTGGCAGCCAATCAAGAAATTAAAATTAAATTGTTTACTTCTCCAAAACTGTTATCTTTTTTTTTTTTTTTGTCCGAATATATATTAACTTAAAAACCTTCGTCATATCGAAATTTCACCTTACTTTTTGTTTGCCAGTCTTCGCGTCAGCATGCCCACTGCCGTCAATTTGATTTTCGTAATTTTTACATTATGTTGCGGCAGTGCTCTTTGCATATTTTCGGCTCACGATAAGTTATTGAAGATTAACGTTAGCAATTCGGATTTGTTTTATCCGATTGATTACGGTTTGAATCTCATAGCGTCGTTCCAACACTCCAGCCAGAAACTCAAGCTGCAGGAAGTTGTTAGTGGGAAGTGTTCCAAGCAAATTGATTGGTTTTATGAAAATTTGGTTGATAATATTACTGGCGATGGAATGTGGGCTTTGAAGAGTAAGTAGATTGTTATTGTTATATAGGTATTTTGCATTTGGTTTAAATAAATTATCAAGTAACAGAAAATAGCTTAGTAGATTATACCACGAGTCAATAATGATAGCTATTATTCCCGAGGAATATTTACGAACTGTGCCGCGTTAGCGGCGAGGGAGTAAGATTCCGAGGGAATAATAGCCATTATTGCGAGTAGTATACTCTACTTTATTTACGACAAATTAATTTATTTGAGATTTTTAATGAACAAATTTCATCCATCTCAATTCTCAATACAAATCCACAAGCACTATACACGTTTGACAGTGACACTTTTGAGGAATAATGACTCATTAATCCCGCTACTCGTCATTATTCCCTGGGGAAATAACATATGTCATTATACTGCCAAAATCACAAGTATAATACTTACATTATACATAAGTCGTAAATAAATATGATTATTTGGTACCTACCTATTGAATATGACTATTAAATGTTTGTGTACAGGGTCATCCAACGAGGATTGAACAAGGGATTTATTTTTGACATTCCCTGTATTTTTGAGAAAATCCAAAATAGCTAATTGGAATATTTTTTTCTGGAGAATTCAAAAATAGTAGCAGAATATCATTTGAACCAAAAGCCAAAGGGATGAACTGTTTTTTAAATGGAACTCCAATTTTAGCTTTACATGTTTAATACTGGCGACAAAATACCCTTATTACCTAAGAACCTATCAAATTACCTATTATTGAAAACGACCAAAATCTTTCAGATACCTATATCAGTTCTTGTTTAGAATGCGTCAGTAGTACGTGTAAGTTTAATTTCAGAAAGTGTTATTTGTATTTCAACTTTGACAGTTGTAGTTCATAAAACGTCATTTATGTTTCAGTTTGGTCAGTAGTATTTCAGAAAAAGTTATCTGTATTTCAGTTTGGTCACTTATTGCATTTCAGAAAACGTCATTTGGGTTTCAGATTATTTATTTGTAGATCAGAAATTGTAAATTGTATTTCAGAATTCGTCAAATGTATTCCAGATGTTATCATATCAATGTAGGGTGAATAAAATTTATAATGGGTCACCTATAAGCCTATACCTATGTACGGGGTGTTTTTTTATATATTGACACCCCACCTATACAGCCTTTACCTTTACAGGTAGATGAAAAGTGTAAATACAAAAGTTGTACAGTATTGACTAAATTTTTAGAATCCATGGTCAGAAACAAAAATTGAATGTCAGAAATGTGAAATATTGCATGCTTTCAGCTTTTTTCAAATAGGATGCGCTATATTTGGTTCTATATTCTTGAAGAGCACAATTTTCCGTTTCTAAAACTATATAGTTTATCTACATTTGGTTGAGCCAACATATTTGATTCTTAAAATTTTAAAAATACTATCAGAGAAACCAAGTATCTCAAATTTTACCTGTAGCTTCCCCCTATTCAGGTAGAATTAATGGTTCACAAAATCAGTTGGTAGTAGGATAGTATTTTTACAATTTTTGGAGCCGAATATATGAGAGATTGCTCAATCAAATATAGATCAGGGTATTGTGCTCTTCAAGAATATAGAATGAAATATAGGGCATCCCATTTGAAAATAGCTGGAAGCATGCAAAATTTCACATTTCTGTCATTCAAATTTTGTTTCTGATCATGGTTTCTAAAAATTCAGTTAAAACTATACAACTTTTGTATTTACACCTTTCTTCTACGTGTAAAGGTAAAGGCTGTAGGTGGGGTGTCAATATATAAAAAACAACACCCTGTACAAATAAGTGGATTATTGCGGAACTTGTGGGTGGACCTCGCTGCGCTCGTCCCGCAGCCATCTACTCACCAATATACTGTTGAACTGTTCAAATAAGTCACTCACCTGAAACGTGAAATTTTTGAACTAATGAGAAAAATTCACAACTGAGTGAATCAGGTTAGTACTGTACTTGAACAACATATTGGTGAATAAATGGCTGGGTCCACCCATAAGTTCCGAAACAATCCATTCGTTTGTACTTGAATAACTTGTCACAATATATTACTAGTTTGGTAAAGTAACATTACTAATTCCTGTTAAAAGGCAAATTGACAAAAAGTGAATAATCTTACAAATACTGACTTTATATAATAAGTTATTGTTCAAGTACACATAAGTGGATTGTTGCGGAACTTATGAAGGTGGACCTCTGCGGGACGAGCGCAGCGAGTTCCGCAGCCATCTACTCACCAATATACTGTTGAACTGTTCAAATAAGACACTCACCTGAAACGTGTACTTTTTAAATTAATGAGAATAACTCACATTTGAGTGAGTCATGCGAGGGGTGTCTCACGGTCGGAAATAGGTGTACAAATCTCAAAATAATTTCCGGAAATGTAGAAATTACAGAAATTTCCTGTAAATTGTCATAAATTATGTTAATTCTCAGAAATTCTAGGAAATGTTTGGAAATTTTGGGAAATGTCAGGAACTGTTAGGAAATTATTCGAAATATTGGAAAATTTTTCAAAATTATAGAAAATTTCCTGAAATTATTATAGGAAATTAGGAAATTTTCACCAGAAATCTTTGAGAATTTTTTTGTTTTGTATATTGTTTAGTTCCTGTTCAGTGTCTTGTGAATAAAAATACCTAACTGCTAACAAAATAAAGGTTAGTATGTTGTTATTTTCTACTGGAAAGAATATAAAGTTTTGGGAAAATGAACTTCTAACCTTCCTCATTAAATGCAGAAAGTTTCAAATTTTTCCCTCTTTGTACTAGTTTTCCAGAAAAACTGTGAAATGTGTGAGACTGTGAGACTCAATTAATTCAGTTATTGTTAGTTGAATATTTTGCATGTTGTTATTTTCCAGTGGAAAAATTTGATATTTTGGGAAAATGATGAGTAAAATGAGCTCCTATCTAGACATTTTTAAATTGTGTGAGACTGTCTTTCAATTGAACTTCGTTGACCAATCAGAAACAACTACTCCCAGGGCAAATACCCCTACCGGCATTGAACTACACTGATTAGTCTGAGCTTTCGTTGGCAATGAAAATTGTTTGAAAGTTTTTTCCAGGTAATGACCAACGTGCAAGTGCAGTGGGTCGATTCCCAAACAGGGACTCTTGTCTCTGATTTGCACGTTGTTCATTACCTGAAAAAACTTTCAAACAATTGTCTTTCAATTAATTCAGTTTTTGTAGGCTGTTTTCCAAGATTCGCCATATTGTTATTTTCCGATGGAAAAATTTAAAATTTTGGAAAAATGAGCTCCTAATTTTCTTCTTCACATGCAAAAAGTTTCAAATTTTTCCCTACACTAGTTTTCCAGGAAAACTTTGAAATGTGTGAGACTGTATTTTTAAATAATTTAGTTTTTGTAGGCTGATTTCCATAGGCGGTTCTAGCCCATCTGTGCTGGGGGCAGGGCCGGTCCAATAAGGTATTTTATGCCGAGGCAAAGTTCAATTCTGGCGCCCCCCTTCTCAAATTGATTTGTCAAAATGGTTAAAGATCAATATGATAAACAATGAATTTTAGGCTATCGTTTATAGAGAGTAAGACAAAAAAAGTAACTTAATTTTTTTAGAAGCGTATATCATACGTTTACTTAATACATGAGGTCTGTTCTCACAGAAATCACAAACCATAGTCGGAGTGTTTTTGATTGGTGCAAATCGCCAGAAACTAGTTTTCTGATAGTTTATAACCAATGAAATTCGCTCTGATAGGTATGTGATGTCTGTGAGAACCTATATTGTAGATATAAAAAAAACGATATCAGGGTGTCCGGAAAATACCGTAAAAGCTCTCCACTACGTAGTAGGGGACCCTTCAAGGAACCCCAGAAAAATAATTTAAAAAATCTGGTGGCATTCTTAAGAAATTTATTAGCATTTTAATGTTTATTAAAATCGGCAACACTGAAAATATCCCGTTGACACAGAATTAAATTAAATACCTATGTAATTGACCTTTTGTTTAGACGCCATATTGCGGTGCGCGAACATAGTTGCCAAAAGAAGAAAACAAAAATTGTTAGCGGGCTGCCAACATCAAAAACCCAGAAGTTATTTATTTTAATTTGTCAAAAAAAATGAATGTGTCACATAAACTAATCTACGACAACCCTTTACTCCAAGTTGTGACGTATTCGATAACAAAAGTATGAACCCTCGAGAAACGAACCTTAGATATTTTATTATTTCTATTCTGCCCAATACAAGCTAAAATTGATGGCTTTTCATTTCAAAAACATTCGTAATAGGCGGCAAATTTGAAGTTTAGATATAATTTATTCAGTAACTTTTGTTTTTAATGTTGACAGTACGCTAGTAATTTTTTTTTTCTTCTTTTGGCAACCATGTTCGCGCACCGCAATATGGCGTCCAAACAAAAGGTCAATTACCTAGAAAATTCGAAAGTGACTGAATAATGTTGTCAGATCAATTTTTCCTGTTGTAATTTAGAGATTTTGCAATCTTCATAATGCGTTTTAAAGGTTAACAACAATAACAACAAATTTTTTCAAACTAATATGTAATGAATCAACAAAAGATACCTAAAACTTTGTACAAAATATTGCAATTTGAAAGAAAAATCAAAAATAAGGAAGTGGAATTTCCACATTTACCTCTTCATATTTCCAAGAATGGTTGAGAAGGATTTTTTAAATTATTTTTCCAGGGTTACTCAAAGGATCCCCTACTACGTAGTGCAGAGCTTTTACGCTATTTTCCGGACACCCGTATAATATGTATTTCCCAAATTAACTGAAATAGTTTTCCAAAACTAATTAAATTATCAACACTAAAAATGAACCAGTCTGGCTTTACGTCTTGCAAAGTAAGAGATGAGTTCGTTGATAGGTTTATTCTCACAGAAATCACAAACCAGCCAGAGGGAATTTCATTGGTTGAAAATAGTCATAAAACTGGTTGTTGGAGATTTGCACCAAGCAAAAACGCTCTGGCTGGTTTGTGATTCCTGTGAGAACAAAACCTACTATAATCTTCACCATCTTA